AAACTCACTGGAATTATTTATTGTTTTTCTCGAAAAGAATGTGAAGAACTTGCAAAATCATTACGGTTGGTATGCAAAATTTAGCTAGCTCTTCTGCATGCTGTATAAAATTTTAGCTAATTATCAGAAATGTCAAGGCCACAATGATAATCGGTTATATATAGTTTCGATATGTAGATACACATCATCCTCTTATTTTTCTTGTTTTGCCTATTCTACCTTTATTTATTTATTTTCTTCTATGGCGTCCCATAATTTTCTTTTACCCACATTCCCCTCTTCCCCCTCTCTTCCCATCCTCATCCACCCCACCAATCCTCCTCTTGCTAGCTCCCTTTTCCTCTTTTGTCATTTCCTTTGTAGTTTTTGGTCGTTATTTGCTTTGTTTGTAAATTGCGCACTGGTTTCTAGATAGGGTAAATTGAGTAATAATAGCATAAATTTTAAAAGTGACGATCAATTTAATAATAACAGTAGTAATAATAATAATAGTAATAATAATAATAGTGGCAATAATAATAATAATAGTAATAATAGTAGTAATAGCAATGATAATGGTAACAGCAATAATAATAATGGTAATAATAACAGTAATAGTAATAATAATAACAATAATAATAACAGCAATGATAACAGTAATACTTTTTATTATTACTGTTCATAGTAATAATAGTGGTAACAAAAATGCGGTCATAGCGATATCAATAGTATAACAGAAAGAATAATAATAATAACAGTGATAATAATGATGACAATAATAACAACAATAATAGTAGTAATAATAATTATAACGATAACAATAATAATAATAACAGTAATGATGATGATAATAATAACAATAATAATAGTAACAATAATGTTAATAAAAGTGATGTAATAGTTCTCGTAACTGTTACGTAGTTTTGGATTACTGCGCATTTTGTATGATATACCTCACATAGCGTGAAAATAAAAAACATATTAGATGGAAATTATAGTTTGATAACTGAAAGAAGTATTTTGGTCCATCAAGTTGCACACATTCCTTTCCATTACCAATACCATTATCATAATTGAGCATCATCAGTGCGACGATTGTGGTAATGTAAAATAAAAAACTCAGAAGTTTTTCTAAAATTGAGAGGTAAACATTTTTTGTGAAATTGACATTTTTCATATTTTTACTTTATAAATTTTTCACTTTCTTACTTAGCTGTTACCTTTCTTACTTCTTCACTGTCTCTCTCTCTCTCTTTCTTAAAATTAAATAATATGACATTGTAGCCGTCATACTGACGAGGTCCAGTTGAAGTGCTGAATAGGAAATTAGTCGTACGACTTGATAGACGGACACATTCCTCTTCAAGTTGGCTTTTTATTTTAATTTTCTACTTCTGTTATATATTTCTTCATATTTTTATAATCTTTGTGTTTTATAATTTCCGAATTTTTGTGCCATTACGTTAGGGAAAAAGCGGGGGAGGGGGAGGGGGTGAAGGAGAGGGAGTTTGGTTTTAGATTTTTTTATCGGTACCGGTGAAACTTATGCCCTGGACACGTTTTAATATCGTTTCAGTGCGAAGTTTAGTTTTCAGGGCAAAAGGAATCAAAGCTGCGCAATATCATGCCTTTATGGATAGTGATAAAAGAAGAATAACGCACGAAAAATGGATTAGTGGTGAAGTAAATGTTATTGTGGCAACTGTTGCATTCGGTTTGTTTCCACATTTACCGCACAAATA